CATGTGTAACACCAGCGACACAAACGTAAACGATGGAGGGAAAAGAGATGCACATTTTCTAGCTGATGGATGAATTTTTCGTTGAGTAATCAAATTACTCTTTCAAAGTAACTATGCGATCCCACTAGCTACACTATATATCATATGTGTGTAGACCTGTCACAATAATATTTTTTTTATTTTTGATAAACAATATTATTGTTGTTTTGAGACCATTTTTAAGTAATAAAATGTTAATGGCAAAACAATAATGCAAGAACACAATCCGAAAGATCAGTAAGCTTTAAATTATAATGAACATTTAACACTACAACTGGAAGACATTTCAAATATCCAAAAATAAACAAAATGACAAATAAAATGAATTTTCAAGTCTTTGTAAAAAAAAAAAAGTCCTTCAAAAAAAGGTTTAGTTGAGACCAAAGCACCAATCTGAAAGCTTTTATCATACAGTTTGTGGTAGAAAGAGAGAAAAATAAAAAGAGAAACTATAAATTATGCCAATGGAAATTATTGAATTTGTTTTAATTTATCATGAGCACGGAGCTCGGTTCATTGTGCGCGTTGAAGCGGAAACGCAGCGCGGCTCGTGCACCTCTGGATCTTTGCAACTCGGTGCGGATCACGCGCGCCGCTCTCCCAGGCGGCTCCAATGTAAACCTTAACTATAAACGCCACACCGCTGTCTTGGCTCAAAAAGTGCACTAAACCCGGACTGTTAAAACAGCGACTATAACTCAGCCTTCCAGAGAGAAAAAAAGGAGATGTAAGCTCGGCGGCTGGGCTGATACAGTTTATAATCAGTCTACAGTTAACTCACACTTTGTGAATAACATTAGAGTTGCTACCTGTAACTCTCCTGGCTCCGTGGCTGGACTGGCAGTTTTGGCGCCCTGAATCAAAAAACTCCGCTTCATCTCCAAGACGACGAACAAAATATGCGTCCAGTTTTTGACTTTTCCTTGCTCTCTTTTTTCCATCCTTCTCACTTTGCCGCTCCATGGAGCTCCACGCCTGTTAACTTAGTCCGTAAAAATGTTATAGCTAGTTTGCCATCTGTTGCCAAGAGACTGATGACGACGTTGGTGGACGGCTGGTGACAAGTTTTACCCAGAATACACTTGGAGACAACAAGGATGATCCTCTTGTAGATAATGCCAGTCACGTAGCATAAACATTTTATTCAATATTTTACACCGACAGTGTCACTAAAATCAGTCGGTCTTGTAAAGCTTTAAGCAACCATGAGTCAACAATGACTGGGGTAGCCTCCTATATAATTCACTGGGGCAGATTTCTTTATAGTTGTATGTACACTAAATTTATTAGGAGAGGGCTCACCTTTAAAGTACGCGAGTGGAAAATTTCTAAATGGGACGTTTTTCGCAACTGAGGTGAAATTAATCGGAGGGACAAATACGCCTTCTTCCAATCCTACGCCTGTGCCAGACAGTGTTGGCACAAAACCTTCGGCCTTCCTTTAGAAAGCAGAACACCCCTGTAGGCCTGTAGGGTAAGCTAACCCTAACCCCTAACCCTAACCCTAACCCTAACCCGCCCCAGCATTTCATAGGCTGTTGATTGACTTAAAATAGGTTTTGAGCACAAAACTACATGCATTATGGGATATGCCCATAATGCATTCCGATTGTTACCAGCCAAACATTACGGCTTCTCGCCACTAGAGAGCAGCAGAGTCACCTAAAGCTGCTTTTCCCATCGAATAAAATTGAGACATCGACAAGCTAACATCAAAACGTCCAAGAAAAGAAAAAGTGATTTACAAGTAAGACTGTGATCATCATATGCTGTCATAATAGCATACATGCAGTGAGTATGCATGTGCATTAAGAGGTCTGCGGCATTTAGAGGAGCTGTCAGTTCAACTACAAAACACCCCCTGTCTAAAACTCGCCTCTCTGTTTCTTGATGATGGTCTAAATCACATGTGTCAAACTGAAGGCCCGCGGGCCACATGTGGCCCGCCATGTCATTTTATGTGGCCCGCCCCAGCATTTCATAGGCCGTTGATTGACTTAAAATAGGTTTTGAGCACGAAACTACATATCCCATAATGCATTCCGATTGTTACCAGCCAAACATTACAGCTGTTTGGCTGGTCGCGCTAGACGTTATCTTGACCGACAACATCAAAAATAAATAAATAAATAAAATCGGTCATATACTATTTTTATCCGTGAAATTACAATCATATTAACATCGGCTATTTAGCCGCATTTTATGCGGTTTAGTTAATATTCACCGTGAATCCAGATCCCATCACAAATTAAGCAGATAAATGTATCTACATTTTCTCAAAACACTGACTGAGGCCCCAATAACTTTTAATAAATTGAATTTAGCGACTTCACTTAAATTAGCATCACTTCACCCGCTGGGGTCTGAACGCACTTCCTCCTAGTTCAAATCTGCAGAAAAATCTGCGCTAATTCATCAGTCAGTTGGATCTGTCTGATCCAAACAGATCAACTGAACTCTGTGAGTGCTTTACCCTGTGCGGTCCGGTGTGCGCTTTTACCAGGATTATTTATTTATTTATTTATTTTGCGTGGTTTCGCTTCTCCGAAACGGACAGATGTTACGTCTGCAGCTCTTCCAGACTGCCGCTCTCCTGGGTAACGTGCACCAAGAAGGCTCCATTTGTTAAATCCGCTGGATGAGTTACTTCCAGCGGTTTCTCAGTCTTCGCAGCGGCGGAGCCGCATCCGCAGTGGTTGAGCAGCGGACTGCGCAAGTTACAGTCTAATTAACTTTTGCATCGTCATTTATTTCCTCAAGATAAACTGCCGGCACCTCAGATGGATTAGCACAACGTTGCAGTCTCTTTAGTTTTCTCTGGTCTGTAATGGAGACTAGAATTTAACGCACCATTTCAACCAAAGGTTTGTAATGCGCTTCCTAACCAGACGCTCCAAAGCGTCCGGTCCATAACTCTTCAACACTCTGTCAGCTCCCGGTCAGAAAGAGGCATTTAGTTCAGAGACCATGAGATGATATTCAGAAAGGATTTTTTTAATTAATTGATTTCAGTTTCCTCTGAGACTAAATCTTTGCGTAGTCTATAATGTCTGCCCATGTGACTTGTTTTTATTATTTGTTTGCTTACCTTTAATTTAAATATTGTAATTTTTAAACAGAGCAGTAATTTTACATCCATGGAAACTCAAATGCAATATTTAGCAGGGATGCACTCCTGATTTGTACCGTCAATGTGGCCCGTTGAGGGTGGCCAATATGCTGAAGTGGCCCTCGGTGAAATTGAGTTTGACACCCCTGGTCTAAATGGTTAACTGTTAAGTCGGGATGTCATACAGCTGTTAATAGCAAAGTGTATGACGATCTAACTTCTACATCATGATGTTATGTTGCTGATTAAATAAAAGCATGTGGCAATGACAGCATTTACTTGTCTGACAGATACAGTCATCAGTTTGTGCTAAGTGTATGATGATCTGACAGTGTAATATGATGTGAAAATATTTACAATATTTGCACTAGAGTCAACTGTTTGTAATCCTGGGTATGAGAAAGTTTTGTGTTTCACATAATAGCCTGATTTGTAATATATTGTTCATAATTTATAACATATCAGCATTGAAAAATGTGTGCTACATCTTCTACAGAATATATTTGGTTGAAAATTATTTTTGTGAGTAAATATTGAAAATGCAGCAACAGCAATGTTTCACTTATGTAATGTGAAATAGCAAAATATTTTAGAGGAAATTATTATGTCTTTTGGTATTATACTGGGCAATGAATGCTTTTTAACATTCTGCCTGAATGTTCAACAATGCATTGGACATGTATTACAGTTATCAAATAATACTTATGCCGACAGTGAAACATTGTGTAAAAAAATGCACAAAACTCTACAGATGTGTCAGCATCTAACTAATTTTATATTTCCTGTAGGACCAATAGAAACTCAATTTTTTACATTTGTTTTCTGATTCAGAGATTAATAAGTGGAGAACTGTTTACCTTAAAAGCCCTTGAAAACTAAAGAAATAAATTTTAAAATTCTCTATAACATTTGTCCATCCAGGGAACTATTACGATAAAGATTCAACTTTGACACTAACAGTTGTACCTTTTGCGACAAGGATATTGAAACAACAGATCATCTCTTTTTCTGTGCACACTGGAACATTTTGGGGGAAACTTTCAGGACTGGATCTCATCAAAAAGCTTTTCCTACCTCTTAACAGAGAGGATGTAATATTTGGAACCACCCTCGGAGACAAAAGAAATTACTACCTGCTGATCCTTGCCAAATGTTTCATCCACTCCTGTAAATGGGGAAATAGAAAACCAGACTTTTCAACCTTTAAAAGCGTCTGATGGACAACCCCTCAAGAGTCTTAAAACTGATGAAAAAAAGTATACAAAACAGCTAGTTGATGCCTATAATGAGCTGAATTTATTTGATGAGAAATAGTGCCCCTATGTTTGTTTTTCTTTCTTTCTCTGTTTAATGTCACATTTTTCTTTCATCTCATATTTAAACCTGTAAGATTTGATGTCTTCTTGTATATACATGCCACGTGATTCTATACAATTGTTCAAAATGTTTAATTAAAAAAATACATTTTAATTAAAGGCAACGCTTTTGTCAGTGTTGCCTTCAAGGGGTGTGGGAAATTTCACTATCAAAGAGCAGGATCCGTCAAAGAGCCGCATGCGGCTCGAAAGCCGCAGGTTCGCCATCCCTGATATACTTTATCAATTGTTTTGTATTACATCGTCATTGTTTGTCTCGTTCCTGTGCTTGTTATTTGTAAATGTAAAAATAGCAATAAAGCAAGAAGAAGAGAAACAACTTCCTGTGTGAGTGCCGAAGGGGCAGTGAAATGGCGGAGGGAAACAGTTCTGGTTGGCTAATTTAGCTGTCATTCAGTTTACGCTGCAAATACGCTTCCCAACTGACCTACTAACACAGATCTAGACACTGGCCATATTAAGAATATAACCAAGGTACCAAGGAAGACAGTCACTTGTAGGAATTCCATCAAGATCCTAAGCTTCGCACATATCTTGAACTATGTGAAAGGAACTAAGACCAAACTCATCGAGGTGGAAAAGGTAGACATCTTATTGTTCGATGTTGATTTAAGTCTGAAAACGCTGTCTGATGATATTTGCGAACTTGAAAGAGTTCCAACAGCACATACGTTAGCTTACCTTTCACTTGCCCTTTGGTAAACTAAACAGGAGAGCTGAGGAAACGCCTCCTTAAGTCGAGAATGTCGGCAATTGAATCATTTCGTGACTTTTTTTAAAAATCCATTGCATTGCTGTGGATTCGTGTTTCGTAGGCTTGATGTTAATTGTCACAAATGTAGGTACGTTGTTATAGAATTTGGTATGGCAGAAGTAAAAAGAATAACGATATAGAAGCATGATGAGTCAGATGGTTGCAAGTCCTGGTTACTCTGTTGGGATGAGTGATTTTTTTGTGCTGTTACGTTTAAGGGCGTATGTGGACCAGGTCATGAGAAAGACGTTATGATTTCATACAACCGAGTGAAATCTTAGTTTTGTCTTTCTGCTGCATGTGACTCGTTTCGGGTCATTAAATTAATACGCCGGCACTCCAGTAGCAAAACTAACACACGTTTTTATAGTTATTGACACTGAATAAAAACCGCATGACTACAAGAGAAATCGCTAACAGGAGGCCGAAGCAAGGGCGTGGATTATTCTGTAATACAGGCGACATAATGAAGGAATTTGGAGCAATAAGGTGGAGCTGACGGCCTATGGCTAAAATTGCTGGAAGAATATACAGTAGGAAACCCTCATCTGCGACTCTAGTTGAAACTTTGGCATATTAAATTTATGTTGCTACGTTATTGCCATATTAAGACAATGAGTAAGTTGAGTATTAGTATCCTTTAGGAAACATAAAGGGCTACTGTGGCCACTTAGACTGAGCTGTGCTGATGTAAGCATTTCCTCAAATGTTTTAATGGGTGACAAACGTGAAATATAACTGTTCTGGCATGAAGCGAGTTTCACAACAACCTGGAGAACTGACTCTAACTGGGCCTCTTAGTAATATCACACAATTTTATAGAAGTTACAGATGAAACGTACAGTAGTAGCTTTACTGTACTTGCCTATTGCCTTCTCTATTTTGTCCAAGATTCTCTAAACTGATCTGAAGTTCACCAGTGTTACAGACTTTGTAAAAATTTAATAAACTTTTACAACTAACTGTTTAATGTGATTACCATAGTATAGTAAAGGACTATACTTTGGTATATACTTTGCTTAGAGGACTAAGCAAATTTCTCTTTTATATTAGCCAATAATTTAATTTTACCTAATTGCTGCTCTAGGAACCATGGTTTACAAATAAACTTTGGCTCCCATGCTTTATGAAAT